GAGGTGAAGGAGCTGCGCGAGGGCCTCGACGCGACCTTGGAGGCGCTCGACGCGGTCGCCGAGTGCGAAGGCCTGGCGGACCGCCTGACTGCTTGCGCGCCCGCGCGCGCCGCCCTGCTGGCAGGTCAGTACTCGACGGCGCTGCAGCGGCTGCGGCGCAACGTCGCCCTGCACGCCGCTCGCGTCCCAGGCAATCTCAGCCGAGCCTCCGCGGCCTCCCTGCGGCAGGCGGCCAAGGGGCTTCGGCTGGGGGCCGCTGTGGATTGCGAGGGCGCAGTGGACGGCGACGAAGTAACGTTGGGCGGCTGGGACATCACCGTGCGGAATCCTCCGCTTGTGCTGGAACGGTTCACGGCCCTGCGCACTTTCTGGGAAGGCGGGAGCACCTGGTGGTTGGCGGCGCCGCCTTTCGTGCAGGGCGCGGTCCAGCACCCAGAGCGACACGGACGGAGCAGGCATCGATGCGATGCTGGGCGCTGTGGCGCAGCCTGGACTCGTGGTCCCTGCGGGGGATGTCTACCCCACGGCTGGCGGCATTGCTGCCGCGCTGGGCTCGGATAGCGCTGGCCCCGTTGCCGGGGCGAGCTCGGACGTTGACGTCGAGTGCAAGGCCACCCCGACGGCCCAGGAGGAGCAAGAGCAGCGCTGGAGCTGCCGATCCTCTCTATCCCGAGCGAGGCGCCCACGGTCGACCCCGAGCGGGTCCTGCAGACATCCGTGGGCGAGTGCACGACCATCGGCGACGGCAACGAGGCGCAGGAAGACCAAGCACTGTTTCCAGAGGACACAGAGGACCTTGATAACCTCTCCGCGCGGCAGCAGCGGACGGCGACCCTCGTTATCCACACGGGGAGGTCCACGGCAGACATCCTCGCGGCGATGCTGGGCGGCCTCTGCCCCGTGTGCCTGTCGCCCCGTCTTCTTCCTTGCAAGGCGCCGAGGCCGATCGACGGCGATGACTCGTTCGCATGCGAGCTGTACAAGGACGGTATAGCTCACAGGACTGCGATGGCCGCCTGCCAGAGCTGCAAGAGCGCAGTCCACATGGGCTGCTTGCGGGAGCAGCTCGACTGAGCGAGGAGCCGACGGTGCTCGACGAGCTCTTCCTGATGTTCGTGCCAGAGGCGCTGATCGTCCTCTCCCGGTTCGCATAGGTTCAGGGTTGCCCTAGTAGACCCCCCCTGGCCTGTGTGCGGTGCCGCGGCGCACCTGCCCCAAGAGAAGTCGGCTCGCCCTCCTCCTCCTCCTCCTCCTCCTCCTCCTCCTCCTCCTCCTCCTCCTCCTCCTCCTCCTCCTGATGTTCGTGCCAGAGGCGCTGATCGTCCTCTCCCGGTTCGCATAGGTTCGGGGTTGCCCCAGTAGACCCCCCCCCCGGCCTGTGTGCGGTGCCTCGGCGCGGTACTCGCCGTCGTCTGCCGAGGGGGCGGGGCCGCAGCCCGTGGTGGGTCGGCGGGCGGCCCCGTCGCGGCACGCGCGCGTCGGTCGAGGGACGCTCCTATTCCTATTCCTATTCCTCCTCCTATTCCTGTCCCCAAGTTCCTATTCCTATTCCTATTCCTATTCCTATTCATACTCCTCCTCCTCCTCCTCCTCCTCCTCCTCCTCCTCCTCCTCCTCCTCCTCCTCCTCCTCCTCCTCCTCCTCCTCCCTCCTCCTCTCCCTCCCTCTTCCTCCTCCTCTTCCCTCCCTCTTCCTCCTCCTCCTCCTCCTCCTCCTCCTCCTCCTCCTCCTCCTCCTTTGCCGCCTCCTCCTCCTCCCTCCCGCTCAACGACCGACGGGCGTGCCGTCCTTCTCTCTCGAGCTCAGCTGCTTCGGAGGGCGGCGGCGGCGGCGGCGGCCGGCCCCGCCGGGGGCGGCCGGGAGCGCGGGGGGCGCCTTCCCCTGCTTGGCCGAGCGCGGCAGCGAGGCTGGCGGCAGCTCCCACAGGTCCTTGGGGAAGCCTCGCGGGAGCGTCGGTCGATCCCGCGGCATCTTAGCCGAACAGCAATTCGTCAGCGTGAGCAGCGGCAGTGCAGGCGCCGCAGCTAGCTGCGCAAGCTACACTGGATGTGCGCACACTGCACGGCTCACGGGACAGCAATCGAAAGGACAAGGAGTGACGTCCTTGGGGAAGCCTCGCGGGAGCGACGGTTGAAGCAAAAAGACAATGTGCAACAGCAACGCCCGACCAGGGACAATGGCCAAGACATAACGCAGAAACGTCGTAGTCGCCGTCGATCTTGGTCAGTTCGTGGATCAGCCTCGCGAATCGGCGAGGGCCGACATGGGCCATGACCAGGATCGGCATCGACAAGATCCCGCGACATCCTGGTGATTGTCCCCCTGTTTCTTCCCTCGACGCACCAGAAAGAAGCACATCCCCCCCGGCGGCCTTAACATTGGCAAGTCCTGCGTTCGAGATATTGGGCTCAAGATGTGTTCGGCCCCGCTTCTCCGAGAGCGCTACACGTCGGTCGGAAGAAGTGGGTAGAAGCATGAAGCAGGAAGGCGGATGAAGTAGATTGGGTCCAGGCCCTCCCAGGCCATAACGAAACACGGCAGAAGCGTATCGATCGTTGAAGTAGGAAGGCACTGGATGTAGACTGCGATCTGGGAATCTAGAAATCCCTACTTTCAACGACAGACGTGTACCCTATGACGTACCCAACACATTAAAACGACGAAAAAACAGGCCTTGCGCAAGATGACGTAGCGATCTTACGCGGTAGCTTACGCGGGCCGCCAGCAGGGGACGCCACATTGGAAACGAGGGCTCTTGCGCGCGACCTTACGCGGGCAGCTTACGCGCCAACGTCTGCGAAGACGACCCCGTTTTCTTGCGTGGCTCATTCGCATCAAATGACTCGAGAAATTGGTCAAGATTAGCGTGAACAGCGACAGAGCAGGCGCCGTAATTTGCTGCACAAGCTACGGGGGGCCTGCTGAGACCAGCCGGGACTACCTGTGAGGGCCTGCTGGGGCCAGCTGGGACTGCCTGGGGGGCCCGTCTGCACAAGACCCAGGAGGGCCCAATGACCGACTGTGAGCAAATTTGCCCTCGACCCCCCAGCCGCTTCCAGATACCATCCATGTCCACGCCCATACCCATGCTTACGACCACGCCATACCTATACCCGCGGCTGTCTTCACGCCCATACGGACAGCCATACGCATGTCGATACGCTCTGTACGCTAGCCACCTCCGCCACGCTTCGGCCTTTCCCGACGCAGCCCTGCCCACCGCCCTCTCCCAACAGTTGGCACTGCTCCGACTCCGGATGCATCTGCCGGGCTGCAGGCGTCCGGCCGGGTAAGGCCGCCATCGGGCTCAGGCCCTGTTATGCTCAACCCCTGCTTGCGTGCACGCGCGTCCACGCCTGCTCGGCCAAGGTCGCTCGGAGTCAGTCCAGGGCTCACCAGACGGCCGAGCCCCTGAAAAGGGGGCGACGCGACAGGGCAGGCGACAGGCCTGGCCGCCCGCCCACGAGGGACGCGCCCAGGAGACCAACCCAAACGGAGACGCCGCGAGTTCTCTTACCCGCCCGAGATAACTTCAAGGGAGGCTCAGTCTCGGGTCGTAGGGCGGCCATGAAGCTCTTCTGTGTCTCCTTGGACAGTCTGCTGCCGCAAGGGCGCCGAGATCGGCGCTGTATCGTCGGTTGTAGTCGAACATCTAGGTCCGTACTGCCAACTCCTGTGCTGCGTCGATGGGTTCTTCGGCTCGATGTACGGACTTAGAGCAGCTACAGTGTTTTTGTTTGTTTCGTTGGTAGCGCAATTACGAGAAGCACGAGTTTGCATTAGCGAGGGCGCCGAGATCGGTGCTCTGGCGTCGGCTGCGTTCGAAAAACTAGCTCCGCGCTTCTCGGTTGGTCGGTTGGTTTCTCGGCTCGATCTCGGGATGTCGGGCAGCTGCAGAGCTCCATTTGTTTCGTTGGGAGTGCAATTGCGAGAAGCATCGGTTTGCAACCACGAGCAAGAATTTACCCACACCGTGAACCGCACCAGGTCCCCCTTGACGCCCGCGTCCTACCTGGCCCCCTCAGTACGCAAGGGCACCAACATCGACTGCGCCAGGGAGGAGGGGCCCTCTTGACCAGGGCAGTTGAAGAAGCGAGATTCTCCTGCGCGCCAGCAGCCCGCGGGGGCACCCCAACGGCTTGGAACTGCGCGCCACCAGCCCGCGTGATCGTCCCAAACGGTCTGCTCGGGCGTTTCGTTTTGTGTTTCCCCTGGATCTGCTCAGCGCGCGAGAAAACAAAGGTTGTACTCGTGTGCTTCATGCGATGGGGCAATTGCCGAAGATGCTTCTATTGGCTACTTTCTCCTAGTTCATATTCGCGCGCGTGCCCATCATCAAGATCCTCGTCGTCATGCTGACCATCATCCTTGTGTGACAAATACCATGTTCAACACCATGATCACAATCGTCATCATAGTCACCGCATCTCGGTGTCAGCATAATCATGATCAATCCTCGTCGTCTCCACCATCGTGACCCGAGCGACGACGGTGCCAAGGCAAACGGACGTACGCGCTCTACAAGGTCACGCTGCCGTCATTGTTGCACTCCTTGCGCACCAAAGGTGGAACTGTCGTCACGTTCTGGTTCCTGGTGGTCCCCAACATAGACACGCGTCACTTGTATTCGCACCTGACGCTGCAGAACGAAGATCCTTGATCGTCTGATGATTTCAGTTGTCCTGTTCCTGCTCCTGCTCAACATCCTCCTCCTCCTCCTCTTCCTCCTCCTCCTCCTCCTCCTCCTCCTCCTCCTCCTCCTCCTCTGTAGCCATTTTGGCTCAAGCCAGCTTGCCTCAAGCTTGCTTGTGCATTTCCATGGTACAGCGCGCCGCCACGCTTGGCACTTCTCGCTCGATTCGTTGGTATGGTCCGCTGCCATTCGCAAGCGCGACTTCGTCAGCGCCGCTTGCGTGCGATCGAGCAGGGCGCCATCGACGCCAGCTCGGACACGGCCTCCATCCGGGTGCCCCTGTTCCAGGCAAACCGTGTCACGTGCATGGTGGCGTCCACTGGAGCTGCACAAGCTCAACGGTCGACTGGCTGGCCAACCAGCCCACGTTGCCCGCGACGCTGCCCTTCGTGCACGGCTGGGGGATGCCGCTCTTCGTGACGTTTTTCAGGTGCATCGTTCGGCAGATCGTGCTAAGCATCGTTGGGACCGACCTCGTCCTGCAGCGCGCCGTGGTGCAGCACGGCTTCGTCTGCGGGATCTTCTTCCGCCGTCTGTGGCGTGGGAGTCGGCTTCGGCGACGCCGTGCTGCTCTGCTGCCTCCTCTGCGCCGTCTTTGGGTGTCTTGCACTCGGAGCAGTTGCACCAAGGAGGAGCGCACCCGCGTGCCCAGCGTCGAGAGCCGCTGCGAGTTGACCATCTTCCTGCTCCTGGAGGCGGTGCCGCTGGCGGCCCCGACGGCCCCACCTCCCCGAGAGCCCCCTGCGGGGGAGCTGTGCCCTGCGGGGTGGCGGCGAGAATGTGCTGGCGCGCGTGCTTCTGCTCACGCCGACGCGACCGAGCGCGGCCTCGCAGCTGGAGGTCCTCGCGTCCAGGTGGGGCCTGGGCCAGCAGACTGTGGTGGAGACCACCCTCATCACTGTCCTGCCAGAGAGGCTGACGGGACGCTGGTTGGTGGACACGAGGCGGATCGTTCCCCTTGTGCGTTCCCTCTCGGTGGCAGCGGTGCTACAGGAGGTGCGCACGTCTCAGGCTCTAGGGAGATTGTCTGGGCACCTAGCGGTCTGCCACCAGATCCTGGGGAGGGGTACATTTGCTCAAATCGAAGAGCACGTGGTTACACTTCGAAGAGGACAGTGGCTGAATGGGCTATTGTGCTCTGCCACGCGTGTCCACTTCATGGTGTTCGGCATGCTGCATGCGGCGTCATGGCTCGTCATTCGTTAAGGGCTGTACGTGGCTGGCGGGTACGCGTCACGGTGTTTGTCCGTCAGGCTGTTCGGGGCGCGGGCGTTTCCAGGATGCACGTGTTCTTCCACGTGCGCTACTGCCGGCAGCTGTACGTCCCTCTCACGCCGCTGTTCGTCGTGTGCCTCATCCGCCTCATCGTGCTCCTGTAGTTCGTGGTGGTGGGGGCGTACAGGGATGGAGTTCTTAGTATAAAACAACAGCAACAGCAACAACAACAACGACAACAACAACAACAACCACAACAACAGCAACAACAACAACAACAACAACAACAACAACAACAACAACAACAACAACAATCACAACAACAACAACAACAACCACAACAACAAGAACAGCAACAACAGTAACAGCAATAACAACAACAACAACAACAACAACAACAACAACAACAACAACAACAACAACAACAACCACAACAACAACGACGACGACAACAGCAACAACAACAACAACAACAAGAACAACAAGAACCACGACCTCCTCCTCCTCCTCCTCCTCCTCCTCCATCCTCTCCTTCCTTCATAACCATTACAACCAGAAGCACAAGAACGACGATGGCGACTTCTCTAATGCAAACTGGAGAAATTACCATGCGGGCCCCACCATCGCAATTAAGCTTGGCAATGAAGGCACGGGTTGCTTGCCATCGCGGGTGGAAGACTATGAAAGGAACGCCTGCAATCGCGAGCTGGCCGAACATGTCTGCCGCGTTCTTGTTAGTCACCTCGATTGCGCCAGCCCGCCACACCTTGGGGGAAACACTCCGATATTGCTGACAGACACAAGACTCAAGCCTACAGCCTCTGGACGAAGTCACGAGTCGATGGTCTCGAGGCTGAAATCTGGAAATCTGCATCTCCCAGAGGGAAGAGCCTGCAGCGGCGTGCCGAGACCCTGTGCTGAAATCAACCCCTGGGCAAGAGGCGGTGCTGCTGAGCAGCAAGACCGCGCGCGCCACGGCGCTCCAAAGCCTCAGAAGTACAACATGGCGCCAATCCGCAATCGTGCCATAGGCACTGAGTGGAGCGTTATCTGAGTATCGCTTTAACCGATCCATGTCCCCACTGGCGTGGTATTGGCCCCACTGGCCGACTTGCCCGCCTGGGTGGGGGCATGTTCCTGTTCCTTCGGATCTCGGGGGGGGGGGGGCATATCCCCGCGTGGGAGGGTGTGACTGTGGGGCTGTGATATCACGGCCCACCAGGGCTGGGGCTAAACCAAACAGTGCTGAAAAATCAGGCCCCTTCGGATGCTCTGGCCTGACAATTGGAAACAATATTGCGCACACTCTTAGGGGGCCCTGGGCCACAGGATCACGGGCGCTTCAGGGCGCTTCTGGGCGCTCCTGGAAATCGCCGCGTGACTTCGTCAGAGGCTTTGGGAGCGTGGCTGGGAGTCCTCACGTCCGACACGGTTTGAGATGGTCCCATGCAGGGCCAGTCCTATTGATTTTAGCCTCTTCGGCTTGAAGAGCACCCAAGACGACCCAAGAGGCCCCCACGATCACCCCGACACAGTCTCCAGGCCACCAAGAGGCCCCCAGGAGGCCCCCGAAAGTCAGTACGGGCTCAGACTGCTCCAGAACAGCCCAAGACGGCCTCAAATTGTTGACCCCTTATCGCTCGCAAGTCCTCCACAACGCTCCCAGATTGCATCAGACGAGCCCCAGACACTGCCCCCCGATAGAGCCTCCAGATGCTGCGACACAGGTTAAACCCAGGTGGGGGCCGATGCCCCCTTCGGGACGCTGTTCTGCGTTGAGCTGTCTTGCTGATGTTCCAGTCTCCAGCGTATCTCGTGTTCCTTCTCTCGTGCCTCGTTTCACTCGTCTTGTTATACCTCTCCCTCTGTCTCTCCCTCCCTCGCTCCCTCCCACCCCCTCCTTCCTCCCTTCCCCCAGCCTTTCTCCATCCATCATTTACTCTCTCTTCCTGCTCCCCCTCCTCGTCCCTCCTCATTCCTGCTCCTCATCCTCTCCTCATATTCCTCGTCTCTTCCGCAGAGGTTGTCCTTGATAATCCTTTCTTCTCTTTCTCCTCCTCCTCCTCCTCCTCCTCCTCCTCCTCCTCCTCCGCCTCCTCCTCTTCCTCCGCCTCCGACTCTGCCTCCGCCTCCTCCTCCTCCTCCTCCTTCTCCTCCTCCTCCTCCTCACTTCACTGCTTCCTCCCTCCTTACTTCGGAGCCTTTCCTCACCCTTCCCACCAGGTGCCCGCCTGGTACGGCGAGGGAGGGCTTGTGAAGGGCGCGAGGTCCAGCACGATGCCGGTCGTGTTACCCTCCAGTTGCATCGACTCCCACGAGGCCGTGAGGTGATACTGCGCGGCAACCTCGTAGGCGACCCACTGCTCGGCCCGGATTGGCTTCCTGTTGTGGCCGTTCAGCCACCACCACTCGTACCTGGAGGCACAATGAAACTGCACAAGCATAAGCAGAACCTCTGAAAGGACGGTGCAAACCATTCTCAGACCGACGCTGGACTCCCATGTCTGGCGCGCGGGGGGAGGGGCCTGGCGCCGATCCAAGAGATCTGCGCGGAGCTCCAGAGGAGCATGTTTGTAGCGCTTTCTCTTGGGCGCCGCATTGGGGGGGGGCCATGAGTGGGCCCCGCTGGGCCCCGGGCGGCCCCTTTAGGGCACCTGAGGTGCATGCACGATTCTTCGCCTCCTACTCATCCTAGGAAGGACCAAGCGTACCCCCAGGACTTGGCGGCGCGCACAAGGGGGTGGGGGGGGAGGGGGAGGCTTCTTAGCAGCAGGCTGCTTCTCAGAAGGCGCCGGCCCTTCCTCGATAGATAAGGCCCGCGCCTTCTAAGAGCAGGGGTGCTTCTAAGAAGCCCTCCCCCCTCCCCCCACCCCCCTCTGCGCGTGGCTAAAGGACGACGCACCCCAGGCGAGGTGCCGCAGCGGCCGCGGTTCCCGGCCACGGTGGGCGCCAGAACGCGGCTGCCGGCAACGTCCCGACGTGGGCCTCGAGAACACCTCTCCAGGGCACGTCTGCTCTGGGGAACGCTCGGCCTCCCCTGATCACCGCCCCCCCCACTACGCAACGCCCGACCATCCTCCTCGAGCACCTCTTCCGTGCGGCCGCCGAGCGCTCGCAGGCGGGCTCGAAGTGGCCAGCGGCCGAGCGGCTGGAGGCCGGCGTCGGCGGCGACGGCGAGGCCGACCGCGGCGGCGCCTCCTCCTGCGCGGGCCCCAGGGATATACCACCACCACCACCACCACCACCACCTCCACCACCACCACCACCTCTACTCCCCCTCACCTCCTCCTCCTCCTCCTCCTCCTCCTCCTCCTCCTCCTCCTCCCTCCTCCTCCTCCTCCGCCTCCTCCTCCTCCCCCTCCGCCTCCTCCTCCTCCTCCTCCTCCTCCTCCTCCTCCTCCTCCTCCTCCTCCTCCTCCTCCTCCTCCTCCTCCTCCCTCTCCTCCTCCACAATCCTCCTCCTCCACGCTCCTCTTCCCCTCCTCATCCCTGGGAGGGGGCGGGGATGGGGGAGGCGGTGGTGACGTACACTCTTGTGGCTTGTATGTGATGTGTGATGTCTTCTTGCTCGGCGCTTCGACATTTTGAGCGAAAAGGGGGGGGGAAAAGGGGAGGGTCTGGCTCCGGACCTCTGCTCAGCGAGACTGTGTTGGAACAGTGCTCCCATTGGGAATCCCACGGGGAGGCGGGGCCTCAGGTGCTTACTCCACCTGCTTGAAGCAGGCGCGAAGAACAGCCAAAAATCTACTCCATTCGGGCCGGGCGAAAGGGGGGATAGCAAAGGTGGGGTTTGAGAATCACCTCGCGTAGCTGATTTCTCGGCACCTCCCAACGCCAGAGGCGACTATGTATCAAGGAATGGGCCCCTCGGTGGGGCCGAAACCAGCTGCATGCAGCAGATTCGCCACCCCCCCCTTTCCCAATCCCCCCCTTCCCTCCGGCCCGATCCATGGGGGAGAGGTAGGTGCGAGGGCCCGGGCCGATCGGCAGCAAAACGATATTACATATATGTACATATATATATAAATACATAACTAAATGTGTCACTTTTATATATATATATATATATATATATATATATATATATATATACATACATACATATATATATAAGAAAAGAAAAGAATAAGAAGGAAACAAAACAAAAAACTATCACTATCCGTCGCCTCCTCCGCCGCTGCTGCCTCACATTCCGGCGGTGCCGCAGCGGGCCCCGCGCCGCGCTGGGCCCAGCAGCACGGGAACATGGCCCCGGCCGCGGCGCGCCAGGGGCGGGCAGCCCTACCGTGGGAGGCCGAGATTTCCAGGCATCACTCGCGGGAGTGCATGGGCGCGGGATCGCCCCAGGCCTCCGATGCCGTGGCCACGCACGGCAGGTTCGCGCCGCGACGACCTCGACGGCGGCTTCTGACGCCGCCTGGACCGTCCAACCTCGAGCGACGGGCGGCCTCTCGGTCGCCTGGGCGCCCCCTCTCGGCCCGGCCCGGGCCACCCGCGGCGCTCCGCCTCGAACGCCCGCGGCGGCGCCGCCGCCGAGTGGACGCGACACGAACCTACGCCGCATCTCCTTCCTCCCCCTCCATCCCCATCCTCCTCCTCCTCCTCCTCCTCTTCTTCTTCTTATTCGTACTATTATTATTATTATTATTTTTATTGTTATTCTTATTATTATTAGTAGTAGTATCATTATTATTATTATTCTTAGTATTATTATTCTTATTCTTCTTATTCTTAGTATTATCCTTCTTATTCTTATTAGTATTATTATCATTATTATTAGTATTATTATTATTGTTATTATTATTCGTATTATTCTTATTATTATTCTTATTAGTACTATTATTATTATGATTCTTCTTATTCTTATTATTATTATTCTTATTATTATTATTATACTTATTATGATTATTCTTATTATTATGATTATTATTATTACTACCATTAGTCTTATTCTTATTATTATTATTAGTCTTCTTCTTATTATTATTATTCGTATTATTATTATTATTCTTATTATTATTAATATTCTTCTTATAAGTGGTATTAACATTATTGTTATGATTACTATTATTATTAGTGTTAGTATTATTACTATTCTGAATAGTCTTCTTCTTATGAAGATTCTTCTTCTGAGTAGTATTCTTCTTACGATTATTCGTATTATTTTTATTCTGAGTCTTAGTATTGTTAGTACTATTATTAATCTTCGTAGTACTATTATTAGTATTATTATTATTAGCATGATTCTTATTATTATTCTTATTATTAGTATGCTCATTATCCTTATTATTATTACTCCTCCTCCTCCTCTTCCTCCTCCTCCTCCTCTTATTATTATTCTTATTATTCTTATTATTATTAATATTATTATTAGTATTAATAGTATTAGTATGCTTAGTCTTATTCTTATTAAGATTATTATTATGATTAGCATTCGTCTTACGATTATTCGTATTATTATTATTATTAGTCTGATTCTTAGTATTATTATTCATATTAATCTTCGTATTGTTAATATTATTATATTATTGTTAGCATTATTATTATTAGTATTATTATTATTATGCTTATTATCCTTTTTATCATTCCTCCTCCTCCTCCTCCCCTTCCTCCTCCTCCTCCTCCTCCTCCTCCTCCTCCCCCTCCTCCTCCTCCTCCTCCTCCTCCTCCTACTCTTCTACTCCTCTCCTCCTCCTCCTCCACCACCACCACCTCCTCCTCCTCCACCACCACCACCACCACCCACCTCCCACTCCTCCTCCTCCTCCTCCTCCCCCTCCTCCTCCCTCCTCCTCCTCCTCCTCCTCCTCCTCCTCCTCCTCTTCCTCCTCCTCCTCCTCCTCCTCCTCATCCTCCTCCTCCTCCTCCCCCTTCTCCTCCTCCCCGGGGAAGGCTTCTGCTGTCCCTGATGGAGCCCGAGCCCGAGCCCGAGCCCGAGTGCCTCGACGCCCACCGGGGGCCCAGGACGAGCCAGCGCGGGGCCACGGCGCCGCAGGTTTGGGGCGACGCCTCCCTTCTGCGGCCACACGCAGGGAGCGGCCCTGGGAAAGTGTTGCCCCTGAGATCCGACGCTTCCCACAAAATGGAGCGGCTGGCTTTGGGCCGTTTTCGGCCTCCGGGGGCCCCCGCCAGGCCTCGGGAGCGTCAAAGAACGACTCAGGGCGAAAAGCCAGTCCCGGGGAATTGGTCCGGACCTCCGGGGTCCACGCACTAAAAAATTGGAGCAGCTGGATGTCTGGGGCCTTTGATCGGCGGCGAGCCCAAAGAGGGGGGCTGAGTGAGACGGGGCGGGTCTTCTCAGGAGGCTCAGAAGTCCCACTGCCTTCTGAGAGGTCTTCGGCACCTGCCCCGAAGTCAGAGGAGACCTCTCGGAAGGCGCGAGGGCATCTAAGAAGATCCCGCCGCCTTCTGAGAAGGCCTTCTCCTTCTCGCTTCCCCCCCTCGCTCGCCGCCGATTTGGTTCGCGGCGTGCCGATCGTGCTGCGCGCGATGCGACGGTCGCGGCACGCGCTGGGGCGACGAAAGACATGCTGGTCCTGTGCGCCCCCCCCCCCCCTTGAACAGTTTCCCCGGGGCCGTAGGCGACCCGAGG